AGCTTGGGCTTAGCCACTAGGCTAGGATCTAAGGCCCAAAGTCCTAAGTCCAAAGGTTCTAAAAGAGCTGACAGCCTTGGGTTGCATAGAAGGGCTTGGGCTTGAAAGCCTGGCCCAAGTCAAAGGGTTTTTGGTGAACTAACTAAAAATAAAAAGGGTTCAAGCTAAGGGTTTTGCGGGTCAAGGACTCGAGGGTGGTCACGACCTGAAGTCGGGGTTTGGGTTTTGGGATTTCACGGGCCTTGGGCTTAGAAGCCTAGCCCAAAGGAAGGCCCGAAGGCCTGGGTTTGGTATCTTTTCTGGGAAAGAGGCCAGAGTCTCCCGTGCTCCGGTCGACGGTAAAACTCATCTATACTCTATGACCTAACTAGGAAATCAAAAATAGAGACCAAAGGGAGACATCTTTACCTTTGGTTTGCCGTGAAAAAGGACGAAGATGGTCGGAATCTGGGTCGAGAGTCTCGGGACTCGCCGGAGTTGTTTCTCTAGGTTTTCTGGGTTGCACCGAGACGAAGAAGAGAGGAAGGGAGTTCATGAGGGTGGTGGTGGAGCTGTGTCGTCGTTAGGGTGTCCTTAAGGGTGTGCCTGGGGTGTGGGTTCGATCGGGGCGGGAGAAAATAAGAGAAGGATGAGTGAGATCTGAGAGAGGGAAGAGAGTGAGTGCTGAGAGAGAGTGAAGTCTTAGGCAAATAGAAAGAGTTAGTGACGAGTTTAGGGGCTACCATACGGCAGCGTGGGGGATGAGGGAAAACAAGATGGAAGGTCCAGATTAGATAGGAATAAATGGACCAAAATGAAAACTTCAATTACTTTTAGGGGAAAAGTAAGATTCAACTTCATGCTGTTTCTTAATCTCACCCACTTTAACCTCAATGACAATAGATTCATATGGCTGATACCATCTGCCATCAGCAACCTCACCAAGCTCACAATCTTGGACTTTGGCAACAACTTTTTCTCGCAAGAAATACCTGTAGAGATTGGCAAGTTAGCTGACCTGGAGTACCTAAGTTTCTTCAGCAACAATCTAAACGGTACAATTCCTTATCAGCTAAGCAATCTCAAAAAGGTAAAGTGTTTGCTCTTTGGAGGAAACTACTTGAGAATTCTTGACAGCTCTAAGTTTTCAAGCATGCCTTCATTGACATACCTTTATCTTTTTCTAAACTTTATAGTCTCAGAATTCCCATCATTCATAGCTAAATGTTCAAACTTGGTGTTCTTGGACTTGTCTAAAAATTATTTTAGTGGCCAAATTCTGGAACTTCTATTTACAAATCTAGGGAAGCTTGGGTATCTCGATCTCACTAGTAACGTATTCCACGGACCATTGCCATCAAACCTTCCCAACCTTAAGCGCCTTCATGTAGGACATAACCTATTAAGTGGCCAAATTCTTGATGATATTGGTTTAATGTCTGGACTTCAACATATTGACCTATCTCAAAATTCCTTGAAGGGAAAATTCCATCGTCAATAAGCCAACTCAGGGAGCTTCAATAAATTAATCTTGGCGAGAAAAACTTAAACTCTTCAATCCCTTTTGAGCTTGGTTTTTTTAACCAACCCCACCTATTTGGTCTTGGCTTCAAATTCCCTAGCCGGGAAACTGCCTATCTCTTTGTCCAATCTGAACAACGTTGTTCAATTGAGTTTAAGTAATAATCTATTCACTGGTCCAGTCCGGCCTTCTCTAATCTCTAATTGGACTAAATTGTCTATTTCCAACTTCAATGTAATAACTTCAGTGCGAATATCCCAGCAGAAATCGGTCTCTTGACAAAACTCAGAATCCTTTATCTTTTCCAAAATAATTTCTTTGTCGCAGTTCCCCCGGAGATTGGAAACTTGAAAGATTTGACCAATTTGGACTTATCAGAAAACCAACTATCAAGGCCAATTCATGTTACCTTTTGGAATCTTACAAACCTCCAAAGCTTGTAGCTCTTCTACAACAATCTCAACAGGACAATCTTCCCAGAGATTGGAAACATGAAGTCACTGGTTACCTTTGATGTCAACAAAAACCAACTGCAGGGGAAACTGCCACAGAACATTTTTATCCTCCGTAACTTGGAGGCTTTTTCTGTGTTCTCCAACGATTTACAATTCTAAGTTGACATATGTTTGCTTCTTCAACAACAGATTCTCTGGAGAACTACCACAAGAGTTGTACAATGGATTTGCTTTGCAAGTTTTCATAGTGAACAATAATAGTCTCATAGGATCTTTGCCCGAGTGCTTGAGGAATTGTTCGGCATTGTCTAGAGTCCAGTTTTATGGGAACCAATTTACCGAGAACATTACAAATGCATTTGGAGTTCATCCCAATCTCGAATTCATTGCTCTTTCCGACAATCAGTTTGTTGGTACACTTACACCACAGTGGGGAAATGCATAAGCATCATGGATATGTTTATAGGTAGAAATAAAATTTTGAGTCCAATCCCACCTGAGCTCGGACAAATGACATAACTGCAGCTTCTAAACTTGATCCAGAACCACTTAACTGGAGAAATACCAGCACAGATTGGTAACTTACTCTTGAGTTACAACTTGGACCTTAGCAGCAATTCTCTCTCCGGAGAGATACCTTCAGACTTGGAACAACTCGCATATTTAAAGGTTCTTAATGTCTCACACAACCATCTCTCAGGGGAAATCCCGACAACAATTCTAAAAATGGTTAGTGTAGATACGTATGATTTTCTTATAACAACTTGACAGGTCCAATCCCAAGTTGTGTCATCTCCTAAAGGCAACAGCCAATGCTTTTGTTGGAAACTCCGGATTGATAAAAGATATGAAGCAACTAACCAGTGCATCCAAGTCCTCCAGAAAACATTCCAAAAAGAACAACAATATCGTAATTGTTGCCTTCCTATAGTCGTTTGGTCTCATAGTGGTTGCAACTGGATTTGCTTTCTTTCTTATGCATCGCAGGAGATCCAAGTACCATCCCAATGAAATACAAATTACTCAAAACTACGAGAGTTTTGAGTCAACTATATTGCAAGAGGAAGTGAAATTTACATTTAGGGAAGTTATGAAGGTCGTAGAGGATTTTCATGAGAAGTACTGCATTGGAAAATTAGGGTTTTGAAAGGTTTACAAGGCAGAGTTGGAGTCAGGTAAAGTTGTTGCAGTTAAAAGACTTAACATGTCAAACTCTAATGACATTCCAGTAATTATCTCCAAAGTTTTCAGAATGAAATTCGAACTTTGACAAATCTCCGACATCGCAACATCATTAGGCTATATGGGTTTTGTTCAAGGAGGGGCTGCATATTCTTGCTTTATGAATATCTAGAGAAAGGCAGCTTGGGAAAAGTATTGCATGGGGTGAAGGGGTGAAGCGGTTAATGAACTTGGCTAGGCAATGAGGATCAAAATTGTGCAATGACTTGCCTATGCACTCTCGTACATGCACCATGACTATTCTCCACCAATTGTGCACCATGATGTAACTATCAACAATGTATTGGTCAAGCAGGATTTCGAGCCCCAACTCTCAGATTTTGGAACAGCAAGATTGTTGAGTACGGATTCATCCAACTGGACGAACATTGTTGGCTCAATTGGGTACATGGCACCAGGTAATGTAACAATCTAAGTTTTGCAATCGTTATATTGTTTGGTAACTAAGATAGGTTGAGACGACTTTCTATTTACAGTCCTTGACATGTCATCTACACTGGGAAAATCAATAGCATTGCAATATGTTCAAGCAGCTAATTTTCTTCGATTTTTCTTCATGTGCAGAGCTTGCATTCACTATACGAGTCATTGATAAGTGTGATATATATAGCATTGGAGTGGTAGCACTAGAAGTCTTGATGGGAAGGCACCCAGGGGATATGTTAGAGTCCTAACGAATAGAATCATCAAAATCGTTGAAAAACAATGCAGAATTACTTTTGAAGGATTTGTTAGACCGACGGCTGGAGCCTCCAACAAATGAATTGGCATAGGCGGTGGTGCTTGTGATGAGTTTAGCCATGGCTTGTATACGTACAAGTCCTAGGTCTCGACCCTACAATGTTTTTTGTGTCTCAAAAGCTATCAGCTTAAAGTCTGCCTTGCCTTTCTGAACCGTTTGGTACGATAACCATCAACAAACTAATAGGTTACACAAGTAGAAGAAAGAGTTCAAATGTTTTGAGAATTTTATATGCTTAAGAGAAACTTCATAATCTTGTATCAATACTTTGTTTGCTGAAAAACATCTATTAAGTGTGGTTTCCGCACTTAGTTCCTAAACTCTACACTTTTCAACCATACACATCCATAAAAGAAAAAGCTAACACTCGACTCCATAGCGTGTTCCGTTGGTCTGTATACGAAGGATCGCCCTGAGTCTTGAGTCTCGATCAACAGTGCTTTTCATTGCACAGAAACTGGCAGCTCAAACCTGCATTGCCTCCCTGAACCATTTGTTTTGCTGAGCTAATGGAATAAAATTAGGTTGAACTAGTTGTAATATTTTCTATGATTAAGAGAAATATAAACTTTGTATTAAGCTGATTTTTTCCAAAAGTTTAAAAATGTCGCAAGTTCGAATTCTCTGCCCCACGAATAAAAGAACACATTCATCAACAAGACAACGCACATAATCAAAGTCAATGCTTATGTAATAGAAATCCTAAAAGAAAACGTATTAGTTTATATAATTAGTTAATTGAGATTTTCCTCCTTTTGTACAGCATGAAGATTACGGCATGTAATTTGATTTCTTTTCTTATGTGTTATCAGAGATACTAAATGGAAGGAAAAACGCTAAATAACAAGGCAAAAAGAAGATTTTATTTTCTGAATTTTATTGGTAAATTTGTTAACATCTGCTAACTAAATTGTTAATTTGGGACGTGAGATTTGGACCTTGAGCCCAAGTAAAAACGAGTGCTCCATCCAGCCCACTCTAAGAAAAATGCGGGAGCCAACGGATCTATTTGGCGGGAAGCAACGGGTCACGACGGTGTCAGCTCATCTTTCCCGCCATAGAATCCCCCATAAATACCCAAATCCCCCCAAATTCCCCACTGCTTCTTCTTCTCCTCCTCTGTGACTACGACCCCTCAAGATCTCACCTTTTCGATTCCGAATCCCGCATTTCTCTTTATCTCGGCAATGAGTTCCTCGCAAACCCTCAGATCCAGGACACCCAGAAGCCGGGAGAAGAAAGCCCTAAACCCAAATCCCCCAGAAGTCTCAGGCAACGAGGCACTGAGCACCCAGACCCCTCAGAAGCCCGAAACACTCACCCGCCGTTCTCGAAACGCCAACTTTGCGCTCTCCATAGGAGACATCAAAAGGGCGGCAGCCAAAAGCGTCGGCGAGTCGACCCAGAAGCAACGGACGGACCAGATCGATCCTTGGGGGGAGGAAACCCCGAAGAAGACTCGTGTCAGCCGCCAGGAGAAGCTACCCGAAAAGTAAGGCTTCAAATTTCGGTTGTGTGGCATATCTGTGTGTGATTTTGGTCCTCCAATTCTGGGTGGAATTTGATTTGTGGGTTGGCTAATTTATGTGCTTATTTATTTATTATTTATGCAGATTTGAGATCTTGGGTGAGTTTTTCAATGGCTTGGACACTTCGATTCGGTTGTTGCGGTTGAGGGGATTAAAGCCCAGTTTCAGCAACATTTGTCCCCAAATCGAGTGTTTAACGGATAGGTATTTTCTTTTGTTTGGTTGCTGAGAAAATGAAATTGGGCTGTTATATAAATTTATCGTTTTTATCTCGATTTTCAGTAGATTCACATATGCTATTGCTTAAAGAAATTTTCTTTTTTATTTGATTGTTTTGTTGCTGAGAAAATGAAATTAGGCTATTGTAAAAGATGGTCTTCTTTTTTATCTCAATTTTTAGGAGATTCACATATGGTTTTTTTTTTATTATTCTTTTTAATTGACTGTTTGGTTGCTGAGAAAATGAAATTAGGCTAATTATAGAAATTGATCCTTTTTTTTAATCGATTTATAGGAGGTTTACACACGGTCACTTGGCTCAGCTGAAGTTTGTTTTACCTGAGGCGATTGAGATAAAGAAAGTGCTTATTAAGGATGAGAGGACCAGTTGTCTGAAGCCGGATCTTCATGTCACCATCAATGCTGATGCATTGGAGAGCGATGGCAAGTCGAAACCTGAAGGTGGTGGGAGTATGCATTTGAGGAAGGCATTTCGTAAACGGCTTGCTGATCTTTCAAAATCCCATCCTGAGGTATCCTCAAAACTCAGTTTCTGATATAGAATTACTAATATGTTTAATTTGTTGAATGTTCTTTGTAATTTTTGTGTTAAAGACACTCTTTGTAATTTTAATCGATGGTAATCTGGGAAATTATTGGTGTTCAAGGTTTTCTCCTTATCAGTGTAACAATCTATTTCTTGAGATACTTGCTGAATAACTTGTGGTCTAACAATGCTTAATATGTTTTCAGGATTATAATATTCCAGAAGAAATTCTCCCCCAGCCATTTGGTCGTGCGAAGCAAGATATGCTATCAGACACGGTCAATCTTCCCTTGTCATCATCTCTTGGTGAAGTATTGACTGATGCAAAAAGCTGCCTTCAGGGTGATGAGATTTCAGAGCCAAAGCTCGATACTGCTTGTGCTTCATCGTGTGGCCAAGTGCCTGTAACTCCAACTAAAGCCATGGACGCCATTGAAAATCATGATGATTTGCTCACAAAAAGTGCTAGCATTCAATCGACTCCAGCAAAGCTTGCTTCAACTCCAGCCAGGTTGAGGGCTGAAACGCCTGCATTGCAGCCTCCAAAGCGATGTTATATGAGCCCAGATCATAATTCTACTAGCTCACCGAACAAGTTGGCTACGCGTCCTCCACGCACCAGGTCTTTGAAATTTGACACGCCTGTGAAGAATAAAAATGTTGAGGATGAATCTCCTGATAGGAGTGATGGATCAAATGATAATGACATTCACGAAATTCTTCCAGCCGATCTTTTGCAATCGGTATGTCTATCTTGAAATCTTCATTCTTGTTTCCTCATTGAGCACGTCTTATCTATCTGAATCTTGTCTGGTTCTTTTACCATTAATTAAGGAATCATGTGTTGCAAACAAACATGACGAACACATGATCAGAGAGCTTCCAGCCCGAAATGTGTTTTTGTGCTCCCCCATTTTGTTTGAAATAGATGCATTTAATTGTGCATAAACTAGTCCCAAAAGTTGAACCATGTGATAATTGAAACATTTACACGGTTGGACTTGAAGATAATCAACTGTAAATTCTGAGACGTATCCATATATCTTTATGCAGCTTGGAGAGAAGGAGAAAAAGGCAATAGAGGAGCGAGATCCGGCCATCTCCCAAGCAAAGAGGCGGCAACAGATGATTTCCAGCCTACCTAAGCTCTTCAACTCGATTCATTTTCTACTACAGTCTATGAATCGTTCTGTTATCACAAAAGAGGAGCTTGTGCACAAGATCATTTGGACCAATTTCGATATTGTTGACAGAAGTAAGTCATTAACCAAAAGCAGATACTATTTCTCTGCAGGCTTATGGCGAGCCTAACTCTTTTTCTTGTTCTTTCCGCAGAGGAAGTTCAAGAGCAGCTAAACTTGTTGCTAGAGCTGGTTCCCGATTGGATTTCTGAAAAGAAGATAGCATCCGAAGCTGATTTGCTAATGATCCAGTAAGTTTTCTTCATATTTACAAGTAGAAATTATGTGCGTTCTAGTGGAAATGCATTCATCTTCTGGTGAAAAGATAAAAACCTGATAGACTTGTCTAACCTCATTACTCACGTCTCTTGCAGCATTAATAAGATGTCGAGCCCTGAGTCAGTACGTGCACGGCTTGAAGTGGCAAAGTGAGCCAAGAGCTAGGGTATGCTAGGTTGTTTTGATAATTTAGTTGTTCATGTAAAGGGCATCTGAGTAGCCTAAGCATGTAATTAGAGTCAAGGGTTCTTCCGGTAAAGTTATTCAACGTGATTGTATGAAGATTTATTACTATGATTGCCTTTTCTGCTTACGGTGTTGTTCGAATGAATGCTAAAATTTTCTGCGAGCTACATAATATGCTGCATCACAACCTCTTTAGCAACGACGTTGGTGACACCAAATGTCGGCAAATGCAGTGGTTGAAGAAAAGAGAAATCGTGCAGGTGGAGCCTCACATGTCTTCGTCGGCAAATGCTGTTTTTTGCAATCCAGAGTTCCCAATCAGAAGGATGTCCTCCTCAGAAAAGTGCCAACGCCACCAGTTACCGACCGTTCAACCACGAAGGCGGCCTAGACCAACATTATCCGCCTAAACCCTAACCCATATTACCAATAGCTTGAATGGAACAAGCTTAATAAACTCAAAAGAAAAGAAAGAAAAAAAAACTTGAGTAATCCAAACAGAAACATAAACCACATCAACATTACCCACAGTGGAAAACAAGAGAGCAACATCAAATTCCTAGCATATCACAACTGAATAAAACTAAAGCAGCACCGGGAAGAACTATCATCAATACCGACAGTGATTAGTAAGTTCAATAGAAACCATGAGAGAGAAAGATAGCAAGAGAGAGTGAGGATGGAGTGGAAATGGGAAGAGGAGACTCCAAAATTATCAAGCGCGCACAATATAAGCAACCTAGATAATAAATTCTGAAAATTTCAAGTAGAATTTACTACTACTAGAATGTATTGGCACTTCTAGCAGAACTAGTGCTGCCAACTACCACCAAGAATCAAGCAATCCAACCAGTCTCAGGACACTTCAACTCTTTTCGTGCATAAGCTCTCAGACCAGGGAATAGATCGCATGCATGAGGGATTCCTGTGAAAGAAATTTCAAAATCTCTTGAATCTCTGATGCTAGGCCTGCCTGGACTGAGAACCACCATAACCACCGGTGGCCTGTGAAGGGTCAGATCTCCAAGATGCATTAGAGTACCCCGAATTACCATTGGTGTCGCCATAGCCACTCCCCATGTAACCACCACGAGTCCCTTGTTGCTCTCCACCGCTAGCACTACCACCAGAGTTGCTTGTTGGAGTACTTCCACCATGCCCGCCAGAGGTCCCATACCCACCAGGATAAGAAGCGTAACTGCCGCCGTAATTTCCATAGCCATAACCTTGATTTCCATAACCAGAAACCCCACTTGGGGATTGACCCCTAGGAGCAGGAGCACCACTTCCACCAGGGGTACTCCAAGGAGCTGCAGCCCCATAGCCAGTAGCACCATACCCAGGAGTTTGGTTGCTCCAAGCACTTTTCAAGGCACCAGGTACCCCACTAACATAGCCAACGTTGGGGGCATTTGGATTCCCATACGATCCTGCAGGACCACCAAAACCAGTATTGGCACTTCCATAACCTCCATAACCAACCCCTGTATTTGCTGCTCCATAACCATAACCTGGTGCACCATAGCCAGAATATGGAGGGAAACCGCCTGCTGTAGTTTGAAGCTGCACATATCTATTGCCATCAACCCGACCATCAAATGCATTTGTACTGGTCCCAGAATTACTGTAACCTTGATATCCCCCACCACGGCCCCCACCACCAGGATTTGCATCTTTAGGTAGCGCTCGCTTTACCTCTACAAGTTTACCATTCAACTCATGGTAGTTCTTTTGTAGTACTCTATCAACTGCATCTTCAGTGTCAAATGTTATGAAACCAAAACCACGAGGTCGTTGAGTATTTTGGTCATACATTATTACTACATCTGTCACGGTACCATAATTTTCAAAGAATTGACGAAATCCATCTTCTGTCAGTGTAGAAGGCAATCCACCAACAAATATTTTCTTCGTCTTAAAATTTCCTCCCCCTCCAGAGCTCCTGCTGGTATTAAAGTTTCCACTTCTATTGGATGTCTGCTGTTCTTCTCTTGATAAAGCCCTTTTTGCCTCAACCTGTGTAATCAAAGTGGAACCTTTAACAAACAAAGGGACAAACAGATGTACAGATAAGGCAAAGATATACAATAAAGTAGCATATATGCTTGTTCATAAGAGGCAAGGAAGAACCCAATAAAGTAGCACAAATCAGCTCAAAAATTTTAGTAAGAACACAATACAGTAGCGCTTAAACCTCTAATAATCTACAAGTAAATCTGTCACGCCCCAATCCCGACATACGTCCAGAATTGACACGTGACGTCACTAAAAATCCGTATCTATCATATCCCACCTCCGGGATATGGGCAAGCACAACTCAATAATCGAATCACATAGTTATTTTCGTATGCTTTATGGTTGCATCTAACCTCCTGTTAGACTGCCTACTAGACAGGGATCAAGCCATTCGTAGTTCGTCATGCACAATAATTGACATATAACACAGTCCGATTAAGTCGAAAGGTATAACATTTCTCAATCAATCAATAGAACTTAACAAGCATGGAAATACAAGACTCAGGGTTACATAACAACCCATCTGAAACTCATGATTTCCCCTCCATCAATATATAGGCCATTAAGTCACAACATGATACCGCAATTCACAACATATATCATTTCAAAGAACCAACGATGTACAATACCATTCTCTAGCCACATTTATCAACACGTCTAGTCATAACAATAACCATGGTATCCAACATAACAATCCCACGTGACGATGAACATTTCCATTTCAACCATCACATCATCAATAACACATACAACAAGTCGAAACGCAAGGCTAAAGCAACACAATTCAGTTGAAGACTACATCTTTGGAAAAGGGGATTTTGGACCACCTCACGGACCAAGGCTCCAAAGGAGATTCCGGACCATCACTCAACGGAATCCAAACAGAACTCAGTTCCAGACCATCCAACCGAATTGAACGGAAGTCCAAGAAGCATAACAACGGCTCGAAGGAACAAGACATGATTCAAGTTACCCAATTCACAAAACTCAACGAAACGAAGCAATATTGAGCACAAATCCACATCACAAGGGTTATCAGTCATTTACTAGACCTCACATCTCCCAAGCAATTCAATATGCATTTCAATCACATGTCACAACCATTTTCAATACACAAGTCAAATTACATTTCACTTCATCGTACCAATCACTATACTTCCAACATTATATCTCATTACATAGCTTGTAACATATCAAGGAATCACGAAGCACAATATTAATATTTAATTACGTTAATCAATCAGTGTATTATAACATATCATTTCACGAATTTAATAAGGACTCTACATAATTCCCAACTTGGGTTATGAATAATAACATGGTAATTCTAATTTATTTTCACAATATCTATTGTGGGTAATCCTCATCTACTCAAATTTAGGATTCTAAGATCACCTTACGGAATGAACAAGAGCAAGGATTCCGAACCACTCAACGGAATCCAACATTGGGTTCCGGACCACTCAACGGAACCAAAATACCAAGCGGTTTCTCATAATCTACCCAGACCTGTCATATGTAAAGTCAATGCCAATATTATGGAATTGGTGCACTGGCAAATCAAGCACTCAAATAAGCTGAGAGGCTTGGGTGAGGGACAATAAAATAAGCATGTGATACAATAATAAAACCAGCCATCAATCATAATTTATAAACCTTGAATATAAATCTTTCTTAAGAAATCAATACCAAACTTTTGAAAACTCCAAGGGAGTCACCCAGACATCCAAAAGTTCATTTCAAACAACCATAACATCTCACACCCATATTCACATACACACAATGAAAGTAGAATTAGGGCGACACTACTCATCCAAAGCCTACACCTTTGCAACCATCTCAAACTAAACTCAATGAACTAAGGTGGATACAATCCTGGACCATCACTCAACGAGATTGCGAAGTAAGAGGGATTCGGGACCATCACTCAACGGAACCCAAACCAAGATACGATTCCTGACCATCACTCAACGGAATTGCGAAGTAAGAGGGATTCCGGACCATCACTCAACGGAACCCAAACCAAGATTCCTGACCATCACTCAACGGAACCCAAACCAAGATTCCTGACCATCACTCAACGGAATCGCAGAGTGGAGTAGGAAGGATTCCGGACCATCACTCAACGGAATCCAAACTAGGATACGATTCCGAACCATCACTCAACGGAATCGCGGAGTACATTGCATAACCACCAATGAATGAAACAACACATGAATCAAGTTACTCAAGTTATAAAGGCTCAACGAAACAAGATATGAAATAATGAAACGAGCATTTACACATGTTTCAAAACAACAAACCCCATGACAATGGGTTAACGGTCCACCACTAACCCTCACCATCATCAAATCAAGCCAATCATACAAAACAAACCATATTTCCAATATGCACGTCAAATCCCACTTCATATAACAATATCATTGGCTAAATATGAAAATTAACAATTTATAGGAAAAATGATTATAAAACCATTTCATATTCACATATATTAAAGTCACTCACATTTCATCATATCATACCATCTATGTAAATCAACCTACCTATTAAATATGCACATCAATTCACATACCATGATCATCGTCCTGTACACAAGCCAAATCATGTTTGATAAATATAGGTCTAAGGCTAAATATATATAAATATATATACATATATATAATCACATTTCAATAGAATCACCTTATAAGACCAAGTCAAATTCACAGATAATACCAATATAAGAAATCAAGGTAATAACCATATCACACATATTCAAGTCACTCTCTAACCAATGTAGGCCCACTAGACTTCACTTAAGTCTTCCATGGTACTAATTTTATTATTTAGAACATTCCAAGACATGTTGACCATAAATCAACTCTCGGTCAACATTGGGGTCCACAACAATCTGCAAATCAGATTTATGATCCATAACTTCCCAAAGTTCACATTATGCTTCGAGGACTAACATACTAAAGTTTCATTATGATCCAATGGTCGAATTATCGTCAATCACACAAACAAGTGGCAGTCCAAATTGATCACCACACCAAACAATTGAATCTTTGGAAACCAAGCTAGACATAGGTTCACATGGTCACTAGAAGGTATTTAAAACCTAGACAACACTCGTGAACGATCCCACGCACCGCTACACACGGTGGAAGTCAAGATGGAGGGTTTACAAACCCCGAATTTCAACATTAACTAGATGAGCTCAAATTTTCGTGGTAGCTAGAGCTCAACAAGGGAAACACTTTTCACAACTAGGCCGATGATAAATTCTAACCGGAAACCGTCCAATTTCACCGGAGAAAACCGGATTTCTAGAGTTCTAAACACCCAACTCTAAAATGAATATGAAAGCACAAACTAAGCATACCCACTTGAAGATTATGAAGAGTAGATGAAGTTTCATACCTTACTCGAAGGAAATTGTTGCCGGAATCGCCAGAAAAATGATAAAACCGCCAGAAAAGTTGTGGACTTTGTGACCTCGAACTGCAAAGATGGAAAAGAAATGGGAAAATCTAACATCACAGAGATGTAGGGCTCGTCAAGAGCTTTCCATGGACACCAAGATCATCCAAAACAGAGCTTGGATGAAAAAGATACAAGCGGGTCAAGTTTGGTGGGTTTATGGGTCAAATTCTCCCTAAAACGGGTTAGGCAGCACCCAATTTCCATTTTCTCAAAACCCTACCTTTTCTGGAGGTTTCCCTCCCATTTATAGCATTTTGGTAATATTACCAAAATGCCACCAACTTCAAACGACTCCAACTTCTCCGTTCGGACTCGGAAATAAGATCTGTTTACGCCTACGCGCTCATGGAATCGAACTCTACCTAACCAATTCAAGAGTTGACCGAAAAGGTTGAGAAAATTAGACATGACTAAATTACCCCTCACTTCGTTTTTCTGAAATTTGGAGAAATAAAGAACTAGTTTCAATCAAATCTTCGAAATACGTCAAGAATAAAATAAAATAATAATTTTAGGGACGGGATATCACAAAATCACTTTGAGATAAAAAGTTAAACGTTGTATTTGGAAATCTTACAATTGAAAACCATGTCAAGAATGAAAGATATTCAACCTCCCTACATGTCCAATTTTACAAAGTTTCTAACATATACCATCAAACCATGCCTACAAGAATACACTCATCCATTTAAATCAACGGTAAGTTGGTGTTGTCAAGCATCATACTTTTCAGGTAGATTACTGACATTACATTTGACGACTTATCATGTGTTTCCCTGAAGGACATTACGTGTATAAATGTGAATTAATGAGCACCCCGAACACAGATGCAGATAATAATACAAAATCCCCATTGAAAATCAGAAAAATGTGCAACCTTGTCGACCAAAATAGTGGGCTGCAAACATTACGTCTTATAAAATATGTCATGTGAACAAAATCATTTCTACCGCACTAGATAAGCGAAGGCAATTATGTTCTCCCTAACGAACTTGGTGTTCATCAGCCAAAGAAATCTATGCACTCAATAAGATAACCGCACTGCAAGTACATTGTATAAAAATACCACATGGAGCTTAAAAACCAACAAAATTACAAGCCAAAATAACCAATTCCGGAGTCCCTCTCGGCTAGCAGATGCAATCCCAACTTAAAATCAGCATTACCCAGTACGCATTGCAACCCCAAGAATGCAAGAACACCCAAAAGACAGCTCAAGAACATACAAGCAACAACAACCCATGAAAAGTAACAACAACCCAAGAACAACAACCCACAACACATTTCGGCACGATATCGAAATCCCGGAACGCAAAAATCTCAAAACCAAATAAAGAAACCAAGTAAATTAGCGGCGAAAGTGAAATGCAGGGTAATATTGGAAGAGGGGAAAAGTGTGAGTGTGACTGACCAGTCGGCCGTCAATGGTGTGCTTGTCGTTGAGGACCCGGTCGAGCAGAGAGGGGTCGGAGAAGACGACGAAGCCAAAGCCTCTGGGACGGCCGGTGACCTTGTCACGCATGATGACGGTCTGGGTGACATCACCGTACTGGTTGAAGTAGTCGGCTAGCTTGTCCTCGTTGGTGTCCCATGCCAGTCCTCCTATGAACAGCTTGCCTTCGTCCGAGTCCATTTGTAGAGAAAGGGGGAGAGAGAGAGAGAGAAAGAGAGAGAAGGAGAGAGAAACAGAAGGGGGGAGGACTCGAGGAGGAGGGAAGGGCTGCTGCCTAGGGTTTGTTTGGAAACGACACCGAATTGAGAACGTGGGAAACGGAATGCAACTATGAGGGTGCCTTGTAGTTTGTACAAATATTCTGAGTGGGGAAAAGAATTCAAGATGGGGTGGTGGCGCAGTTGGCTAGCGCGTAGGTCTCATAGCTTCTGAGTGATCCTGAGGTCGAGAGTTCGAGCCTCTCTCACCCCAAAAACAGTTTTTGTTTTTTTCGTAGGCTTGTGAAGTAGTATGTTCGTTAAGTTGGTAGGAGATCGAACTGTGGCCAAACTTAAACAACTAACAAATCACGTATTGAACCACGGAAAAAAAATCCATGTATTCAATTTTCTTACACAACAAAAAAAATCTGATTTTTTAAGGTTTTTTTTTCTTATGTTTAAATTTATTTTTAGTGATGTGATGTGGGATGAATGGTACAATAGAAAAAATGTAAGGCATTAGTAAAAGAACCAATGATACAACACATTGTTGAGTTTTGAACCTAAAAAACTTATATAAGAGTTCAAAAACTACAATTAAACTAGGTGTAAAGTTCATAGATCATTGCCACAATTAAGCAGATTTTTTTTTTTTTTTTTCACTTGGTATAATGAATGGTATCACATGTCTTTTTATCAACGCCTATTTTGTGGTGCATGATTTTGTGGAATGTAGGCAGTGGTTATGATCGATTCAATGTAAAAGAGGGCAAGGTGTGTATTTTTTGTTAGATATTTTCCAGAAAACATAGTCGCATATTCCTTATGAAAAACATTTAGTGCATCATAATAGAAAATAGGCTTCAATGTCAAAATAGTATGTGTTTTATCCAATGTGCCAATTTAGTCCTGCTGTTTTCATTTTGGACAAATTCATCATTGTGTTTACATCCGTTTGTCAATCCAAGACAATCCGTTAAAGAGTCGTTAAAAAAGACACCTGTGAGTAAGGAAGGGTTCTGCGGTAGAGCCACATGTATGCTAATGCAGAGCCATCTGATGAGAATAGACACCAGAAAGTCTACTCTGGTTCCTACACCCTGTGCAAGCTTGTCTGAATGGTGGGAGAACGATGACTCAAATAACAAATGTCAGCGGCCTCTGGGACGAAAAGAGGGAAACAAGAATCCCCCTGAATCAGACTCCGAATCGACTTTGATGGTTCGTGAAAAAAAATCGGGCAGTGCAGGAGAAACACATTTTGTCTTGCACCAGAAAACTTGGTGGTGTCCGTCCCCCTTGGAAGTTCAACTCAATTTCTTAACGCCGTGTTTTTCAGAGAAACAAATTTTGTAGCGGATGCTATAACTAACTTTCGGACATGGCGGACTGGATGGAACTTATGCATGATTTCAAGCACAATAGTAAAAACACAATCCATAAATTCAAGCAAGTCTCTTTGATTAAACCAAATATTACAACAGGCAAGCGTCACACAGAAAACAAAATCATAATTCACAAAAGAATTAAAAGAATAGACATCACCATCAGCGGACAACAACAATCACAAACCAATCTTGTTTCCGTAATTAAGAAAAAGAATCTCATCAATCATATTCAGCAGCACCTCCTTTGTTCAAAGCTCTTTCCAACCTTGTCTCGAATGGGGTACAATGCCAATTCACTCTCCCGTCAAGACCTAATCGAAGGAGCCTCACAAATACCTATCTGTATTTGCTGGTTGAGTTTGGTATTCCTTTGTAAGACGAGGCACCCAAACTCTTAGCAGCGGGAGAAGGAGCTCTGTGATTCCAGTATGTTCCAACGGACCCTATTATGGCCATCTCGTCAGGGCTTCTACTCGGTGACTTCCTTGGTGAAGATGAGGCTGAAAATTGTCTGAGCTCTTCAACAGTTAATGCACCTAAAATTGGTCTATCTTGATGGCCTCTTGCTGAGTTTGATCCATGGGACGTGCTTTTCTCAGGCGTGAAGGTGTCTAAAGCAGTTGTGCTGGCCTTGTTAACTGGCGTATGTTCTGATGAAGCCAACCAGTTCGAGAGGCTAGCATCAACTGCCAATTCTTGGTTGGGATTCTTTGATTGCTTCTTGTCTTGATCAGCTTTTGTTTTAAAGCTCAAACTTGGCTCTGAACTGAACGAAATCCGGGGTTCTTGATCCTGTGTGAAATTCTCTTTCTGAGGCTTCATCAGTGGTGTCCCTTTGGCTTTGACAGCTTTCCATTGTGTTAGATTCTCAACAGGGTTTAGCACCGAATGAACATAACCACTCCTATCGCGTGCACTGTGGTTCAACCCACCTAGTTTCATCGGCATTGGACTATCAAAATCCTCAGTCATTACTTGAGGAGTAGAAACCCCTCTATTTGATTCTACAATTTCATCTTCGTACTCTAGTTCCCCATCATCGTCATCATAATCATCCTCATCTTCATCATCCAGATCACTGTCCTCATCATAGTCCTAACACTTCGTCTTCATCATCGCTATCCCTGCAATTTTGGTACCGATGGTTAGGAGGGTATGACCCTGAGCTGGAAGTGACCGAACTATCTTCAGAGGAAGACTTAGATTGGCACGGTTTTACCAAATTCTTCTCCTCCTCCTCCTTCCCATTCTCTTTACTATCCAACAAAGGATCCGTAGTTTCGTTGGTCGAAACATGCTCATAGGTCTTAACATTCGAATCAAAAGTAACTTTCTTTCGAGTACTGAAGCTCAGTTGTTCCACTGGCTTGTCCCTACAGACCATAAACTTATAACTTCAATTCAATGTCGAAAACCCCAAAAAATGAAGCGTAATTCAAAAATCAAACAGATGCATTTACATTCAAAGAAAACAGTTGAGTGATAAACACAAAATTAAGAGGCAATTGAACCCACAAAAACCAATCATATCGCTCACCGGACTTCTTCCAATGCCGGGCTAATAGGTTTTTCCTCAACCTCCGGTGCAGAGGAGAGAGCAGATTTCACAGGCTCGAAACTTGTATGTCTCTGCCACAAACAAAGATTAATTGAGAAGAAACACAAATCAAAATCTTGAACTTTTAACACTTTTTTTCCGGAATAAAACCATTAAATGAAATTTGAAAAAAAAAACAAACAAACAAAAACAAAAACCCTACTAAATTGAGCCTAAATTCATCAAAAATTAATGTATGGGTTTTACTCAGAACTCACAGGTGTGTTAGCAAACTAGAACCCCAAAAAGAAGAAGTAAGGAATCAAAATTTTCTCAGCAACCAAACAGAGGGAAACACAAACTTACATGGTCTCGGTGGTGAACCCTGTACCTCCGATTCCTCCTGCGCTTGTTGTCTTTGGAAGAACCAAAACATTCAAGAAAGCAACCCATGATTTCTCTCTCTCTTTCCCTTCTCTGGGTCTCTCAAAGATTGCGTATTTCTGCAAAAGAAGAAGGATTTGGGTTCTGGGTTTTCATAATTTCAAATCTCCATCTTTCCCACTGAGAGAGAAAGGGCCGTTGGGGTTGGAAAGTAAAGAACTAGGGGAGAAGGAAAGGGACAAACGGTCATTAACTTTCGATGGATCCGGGGCTTTTTTGGAGGGGGACCAGATAATCTGCATGTTTCTTTAACGTGCACCCCTGAGATTTCTTGGACTGCTGGATTTAAAAGTCTTGGACAGTCTTGCAGGGAGAAAAACATGCAGACGATCCAAATCCTTTATGTAGGGTGGCCCCCTCCCCCAGGTTCTTTAATTTTCAAGCAAAGGGAAGTGACCGTTAGGGGATTTCGTGTCTGTGTGAATGATTACCCAGCCTGGAAAAAACTTGGGGTTTTTTATTTGACATAATCTGCACCGTTCATCGCTGAAACGTTGGTTGACTGTGGGTCCTAATTGAATTAACAGTTCCGTATTTATAGAGTAGTTAGAAGATAGCTCTTGTGATGAAAAAATTAGGATTTAAGCTTCTGTGCTAAAGTCTGTTATGATTTATACCCAAAATTAAAAATTCTTTCAATTTTCTATTAATTATTATCACATGAGACGTACATATTTGGCTAAAACGAAACTCTCCATACATATATTAGGCTAAAACGGATCTCTTCATTAATTGTTAACACGTGGGGCTTGCTCACATGTAGACATGTAAACGGGTCAGGTTTATTGGGTTTGGGTCGGGTTGAACCTGACCTGTTAAACTAACGAGTCATTCGTTTCACCCGTTAACAATTATTTTTATTTTTATTTTTTTTTGCATAGAGTTTATTTTTTTGTTGTTAAGACTTGACTGAAATTACTAAAACATCCTCAACTAACGGGTGCTAATGGGTTGACCCAAAGTGACCTGTTATTTTACGGGTTCACCCGTTAACGACCTGACTTGTTAAGCATTCACTCAAATACTAATATTAACGGGTCAGGTTCAAAATGCAAGGTCTACTCACGTGCCAATAATTAATAGAAAATTGACAAAATTTTCAATTTTAAGCATAAATCCTAACAGACTTTATTACAAAGACTTAAATGGCTATCTTCTAATTATCCTATCATCACGAGATTATTAATCCAACTAAGCCTTTAGAAAAATTAGAGAGACTGACTTGCAAAAGGCTTCAATTCTTTTTGCTTTTTTCTTTTCTTTAATAACCAAAAGAATTTGGTAAACTAATTTTTTCATGAGTTGGAAGTTGTAAAAGTACACAAAGGCTGGGAAGTTTAAAACTGACCACTCCTCTTCATTGAGGTAAAATCCCAATGACGTATGTTTTGTCATTTTCAGTTTTGATTAACGAATTCTCGTTATACGCATTGTTATAACCTATAATTTATTATTTTCTTAATGATCATTTTAAAGAAGTGTAAAATCAGGTGTTCCAAAAACATTGTTCAAATTGCAATGATCCTACATATTCCTAAGCTTTATTAGCGACATAATCAATAAGGTAGTTAGTAAATCGGGTACAAATAGTTTCATTTTCTAGCAAAAGCCTTAGTGATCAACGCTAGCATTGCGTTAATTGCAGGTTTCATGACAAAAGCGGCCGTAAAGAGCGGACCAACCTCGCCGTGGATGCTATGTCCGGTGACACAATACTAGTAGAGCAACATTTGTACCAAGCATGACATTAGCTCAAGGAGGAACGTTGTCTATTAAAAAAGGCACAACCCTAGGCAGAAGCATAGGACCCAATTTTGAGATCCCTCCGGCGTGTACTGATAAGCCTCGTGGTCTAGGATCGTTTCTCCGTTCCATGGATCCGGCACTACACAAAGAAACCTAGAGGGGTCACATTGCTGATAAGCCTTGTGTTGCAAGTTTTGATCACGATCACAGCTTGGTTGGCTGGAAGAAAGAGGCTGAGTGTCGTAAGAGAACAACTATTTGGGAAAAGGGACACAATTACCCTCACAATTTTCGTTCTCCTCCCTCAGTTTGCTTTGCTGGGAATTGCTGATTCCTTCGTCGAAATGGCTAAGATATAGCGGTTCTATGAGACTATGACCAAGCAACATATTGAATTTTCTGATTTGAATTGTAATACGTTTCATAGCATAGAAAGCCTTATGGGAAGGCTTTATAATACACAATACAAAGAAAGCTTTACACCCTTGTAACCGGATGCAACAGCACACATGCAGCAATAATACAAAGTAAAATGACCTCCCTGCTGTCAAGGAGTCAGCAATCACATGCAACATTCCTTTCCAGAGTGCACACCCTTGCTGCCTGCTGTCAAGGAGTCAGCAATCACATGCAACATTCCTTTCCAGAGTGCACACCCTTGCTGTCTTTCCTTTATGGCAATGATGACTATAGTTGTAATGATGGCAGGTTACACTTCCAATACTCCCCCTCAAGCTGGATCAAAGGGATCAATTGATCCGAGCTTGGATAGGAGATGATGAAAAGTAGTAAATGCCAGTCCTTTGGTGAAGATATCTGCTAGCTGATCATGACTGCGAATGAAGTGTGTAGCAATTACCTTGGACTGCACTTGATTCCGAACATAATGACAATCAACTTCAATGTGTTTAGTTCGCTCATGAAAGACAGGATTTGATGCGATGTGCATTACTGTTTGATTGTCACAGTGAAGGGACATAGGTTGCGGGTGAGGAAACCCTAGATCCGAGAGTAGAGTTTTGAGCCAAGTGAGTTCACATGTCGTTGATGCCATAGCATGATATTCTGCCTCTGCACTTGAGCGTGCAACCACACTTTGTTTCTTGCTCTTCCAGGTTACAAGATTACCCCCTACGAATGTGCAAAAACCAGTGATAGACTTGCGATCGAGAGAGTTCCCTGCCCAATCTGCATCTGTATATCCCGAGATCTAAGTATGACCATTATTGTGCATAAGGATCCCTCTACCAATGGAACCCTTCAGATAGCGAAGCACACGGTGAACAATCTTCATGTGATCTGTGTTTGGAGCATGCATGAACTGACTAACAAGACTCACAGCATATGATATATCAGGACGAGTGATAGTTAGGTAAATAAGCTTGCCAACCAATCTTTGATAATACTCTATATTAGGAATGAGATCACCATGAGACTGCAGCTTCAAGTTGCTATTCAAAGGTGTCCGAGCAGGTTTACAATCTGTCATGTTTGCCTCATGGAGAAGATCAATGATGTACTTGCGCTGATTTAGAAAACAGCCCTTGTGGGAATGTGCCACCTCGATTCCTAAGAAATATTTAAGGGTGCCCAAATCTTTGATAGCAAATTTGTGACTGAGATATTGTTTAAGAGCACTAATCTCAGAAACATTATCACCTGTAACAATTAGGTCATCGACATAAATAAGCACCACAAGTTTACCAGATTTGCCCGATCGCACAAATAGGGAGGAATCAGCATTGCTCCGAGAGAAACCAACTCCCTCTAGGACATGACTGAGCTTGGCATACCATGCTCGGGGACTTTGCTTGAGGCCATAAATGGCTTTATGAAGTCTGCACACCAGGTCTGGATTGTTTGATTGAGGATGACCCGGAGGGATTTTCATGAAAACTTCTTCTTCTAGTTCCTCATGTAAAAAGGCATTTTTAACATCCATTTGAAAGAGAGGCCATGTATTGTTAATGGCAACAGATAACAGCACCCTCACTGTATTCATCTTTGCTACAGGTGCAAAGGTCTCTTTGTAATCTACTCCATAAGTCTGAGTAAATCCACGAGCAACCAATCGAGCCTTGTGTCTTTCAATCGTGCCATCTAAATGGAACTTGATCTTGTACACCCAACGACTTCCTACAGCCTTCTTTCCTTTAGGAAGCTTCATGATGGTCCAGGTGTTGTTTTCGTGAAGAGCTTGAAGCTCTTCTGCCATAGCAGCTCTCCATTCGCTATGTAATTTAGCTTCTTGAAAGCTTTGAGGTTCATAGGTCTCAGTAACTGTATTGAGGAATGCAGCAAATGAAGGTGACACTTTGCTGTAATTAATAACAGAAGTTAAGGGATGCCTGACATTGTAAGTTACATAATCATTTAACTTGGATGGGAGTCTCCTCTCACGGGAAGGATTTCGACGAACTGTGGGAGGTTGAACCACTGGTAGTTGAGCAGTCTCTTGGTTAGAAGGACTTCTTGAGGGTTCAGATAAGATAAGTTCATCAAGTGCCACTGGTGGTGTGTTCTGCAGGTTGTGAGACTGAGAATGGACCTCATTCAGTGTTTGGTCCCTTATGACACCCGTTGCGTCTTCTTTACATGGATATGGTATTGGAAACAAGTCAAGCATGTTCTCCCCCTCTTGAGAGTGGTCCAGAGGTTGATTGAAGTAAGGCATTGGTTCCTCAAATCTTACATCTCTTGAAACAACCATTTTCCTAGTTGCGGGATTGTAACATTTGTAACCCTTTTGAGTGGAAGAGTAGCCCAAGAAAACACATTTGGCAGCTCGTGGTTCTAGCTTGTCACGTTTTTGTGCTTGAATGTGAACAAAGCATGTACATCCGAACACTCGTAAGTGTGACAAATCGATTTGTCTGCCTTTTAGGATCTCATAGGGTGATTTAAAATTCAAAACCTTACTGGGCAATCTATTGATAAGATATGCAGCATTGAGAACACCTTGAGACCAGAATTTTTTCGGCACATTCGAGTGAAACATCAGGGCCCTAGTTTTTTCAAGTAGGTCTCTATTCTTCCTTTCTGCTACCCCGTTTTGTTGGGGTGTTCCAACACAACTGGTTTGATGTAGTATGCCATGTGTGCTTAGATAATGAGACATATTATGGGACATATATTCAGAGCCATTATCTGATCGTAAGACATGAATATTTGAAGCAAATTAAGTGTTTACAAGTCTATGAAAATCTTGAAAAACATCCAACACTTCATTTTTAAATTTCAAAAGATATAACCAAGTTATCATTGTGAAATCATCCACAAAGGTTACAAAGTATTTGTATCCGTCAAAGGACTCTAGAACTAGTCCCCAAACATCGGAATGCATGATTTCAAAAGGATTACTAGCCCTAGATAGAGAGGAGGTGAAAGGTAATCTAGTGAATTTAGAAAAATGACACACATCACAAGAACTTGTAACCTTGCACAGGTTTGGAAACAAAAAGGATAGGACTTTATCAGAAGGATGTGCAAGGCGTCGGTGCCAAAGTTGTTGTTCCTGAATCA